GGAAGATCTACTAGATATTAATTAAATTATAAATATATCAATTCATGCAAATATGACTGAAAAGTTTCATTTTTTTTGGAGAAGGTGGTGTCTATTTACTGATGTGTATTGTCATTCATACTCACAGCTTTATTGACCTGGATAGAGACAAAGGTAGCCTGATTTTATTTATTGTTATTCTGTGTTTGCAGTTATCACTAATATGTTCTGTTAAATTTGTGGATTTTCCCACTTTTTTTATGGTAGCTCGGCCTTCCATATTTCCTAAACTTGATTGGTCATCTCTGTCTAATGTTAGCCTTAGGCCTATACATGCATAATCGAAATGAGGTCAGTGTTTCAACTGTGACTATTAATGATGAAAATTCTGAGTTTAATTTTGTAAGTTTGATCCTTTTAGTTCGCTATCATTGCGAATTCCCACCCACCCTTATATATATATATATATATACGTACAAACATTGTGTAATATGATGTGTGGTAATGTAACTAATTGAGCTGTATACACTGTACTGTGTTACCATACATAGTCATTCATGCTCAGTTGAACTTTATACAAAAATTACATGCAAAAAGCAGCACGGAGGTGCAGCTTGTCTACAATAGAAAGTTTAGTGACTAAAACAGCATTATTAGCCAATCACAAAAGCAAACTTTTCTTAACGTTTTTAGCCCCTTATGATGAATTGTACCAACCTTTCTCTTGTTTAAAGTAGTCTTTTTTTAAACAAATAAATGGACCAAAAAGATATTTTTCTGGGGGGTTAAATTTTTCGAGTTTATAGTTAGGAAATTTACAGATGATTTTGTTTGAGGATTGGAGTCGACATTACACGTGTAGTGTGGGCATGGGTAAGTGTATAGTATACTGCAATACTGTTACGAGTAAGGGTCTGTTTCAGGGTGCTTTTTGTTCAATGGACAAAACAGGGGTTTAAGTTTGTCATTTGATGAAGTTTTTTTTAGTCTCGGACAGCCGTTAAAATCGAGCCCTGTCACTTGATTAATTTGGTTCACACCATAACAGTCTTTGTTCATGAAAATTGAAGATATATATATATATATAGCACCTATACCACTGTCATATCCCAACTAGCCTGATGAGCCTTGGTATTTGCCGAAAGACCTCACCAGAACTGGATATATTAACATATTCACTTTTTCTTTCACTCATAGTTTCTTAGAATCCTATTTAGTACAGCTACCAGCTCTATGTTATAAAATGAGAGAGGTTAATGTCATGTTAGTTGTTCTTGGACATACCTCATATTGCATTTATTTTATTATTTTTCTCTTAATTACACTTGATTTGGCTATAATTAGTTTATTATTTTTTAGTCTTTACTCTATGATTCTGTTATTTATTTATTAATTACTTATTTTTCTATCTTCATAAACATTAATTTTTTTAATCTGAACTGTCCTGCTACCCAGCTCTACAGTTACACATTGTGGTTATTTTCTTGCATGTCAAGGAACACAAAAGTGCAATAGTGCATGAAGGAAACCATTAGTGTTTAGATTTTTTGTAAGATATATTTTTCTTTAATTTTGCTTTCATTAATAGTATTGGTTAGAACATTTATCTATTTTTATTATTTTTAATTTATGATTAATATATATCTTTATTATAAGGCTTATTTTGCATTTTTAGCTTAGTATTTGGACTTAAGACACCTTTAGTAAATCTCCTCATCTAGCCAAACCTTGCATGATATTACTGGGATTATGATTGATAATACTGCTAACAGAAACGTTACCCACCTGATAAAACAATGCATTCTAATCAGTATAACTTTGAACAGTATATGAAATGAAATATATTTAGTACAAGGTTGATTTTTGGTTCCTATCTATGAATGTAGCTTGCTACGATCATAAGTTAATATTAATCAGACTGCAGATGACACTTTTAATTAGTTACTTCTACCTTTCGGAGATATAAACTAACTTGAGAAATTTGTCCATGATTACAGAAAATAAAAACTTTGTAATAATTACTCTCTTGAGAAAGGGCTAACAAATTGGTAATAGGGGCCCTTATTTCAATATGTTGGATGTTATAACTAAATACCACCCAAGTAAGAACTAGGTTTTCAGCATGGATGCTTTGGAGTTTACAGATATTTCTTTTAGAACAGCATACTCTTTCTTGCTTGCACAAATTGTTTTATAAGGTTAATAATCACAGCATCTTGAACATTCTAGTTTTCCCTCATGGTTTGGTGTATAGCATAACTGGTCACTTAATGACTTACGTTTTACTGAATTAACTTGTGATATAAATGTGTGTGTGTGAAATACAACTAGATGAATGGATTTGTGTAGTTTTATTTGTAGTCACGATAGTTCTTTTAGTAATTAATTACTTTACACAACTCTATCAGATCCTTCTTACTAAAAAATATTTAGTCAAAAAACAGACCTGTGAACCTCAACTGAGGTTATTAAAAGTTAACATTTGTAGTGAAGTATAACATTTTCTGTGAAATTTTGATAGTACCAAGTGTCTTATTTAAACTTAATTCAGTCACTTTTTATTAACAGACTGTACAAGAAGGATGTTCTACGAAAGCTAGTAGACTCATGCATATCAAAAGGTTATGTGTTTCAGATGGAAATGATTGTCAGGGCAAGACAACATGGTTATTCAATTGGAGAGGTATGTTTATTTTTACCAATTTAAATCATGAAAGATTTAATATAATGTAGTGTATCATCATAAATACACAGGCATTCTGTTATTTCCAAGAATAAGAAGGTTTTCTGCAGAAGCACAATTTAAATTGATAGCTGATGTTTTGAACCAGTTCCACCACTATTCTAAACAAAATGCAATAATTTTATGATTATAAAATCTTAGACACAACTAAATAATAAGCTGTACTCAGTATTAAATCATGCGTGTCTACAAGTATACAGTTTTAGAATATGGAACAAAAAATTTTTGTAAACTTTTTACTTAAGATCTCAAATCAGTTCCTAATTCATGACCTCTGTGCACGTTCAACTCAACTACAAATAAACTATTATAAATTGAAATTTTTGTTTATATTGCCAAAAACTACCTTAAATCATGAAAATTGGTTATACAGAACTTAATTATTCTGATCAAAATCACATAAAGACATCAATACCAGTCAGTAAAGAGAAAAGTATTCAGTAACCATATTTCTATATAAAGTGAACCAAAATAACACAAACTGGCAGTGATGTTAGCAGTAAAGTACCATATTGTGCTTGTCTTGCAAATTTTATGAATGCTTTCTTAACTACAAAATCTCTAATGTATGTATTGTGCTTATCGAGGATAAACCCGAAGTGAACTATCTTGTTACCCTATTAGAAAAGTGTATTTTTTTCTTTAAACTTTATTGAATTGTGAGAATTCCTTATAATAACACACAGAACAACCTTTTTATGTCAGAAATGTTAAATTAACTTCCTTTCACATCCTCCACGTGCAATATTTGATAAGGCTTAGCAACCTAAGTCAAGCAGCAACTGAGTACAAAGTTTGTAACTAGAAGAGATAATTGTTTGCTATACTTCATTTACTGTTCTATGTTTTAAGAAAAATAACTTTAAGAACTTATTTGTAAATAGTAATAATGTATATACATATATATTATAACTGAAATGTGACTGTATTTTACAAAATACTATTCCACTGAAACACAGCCAAGACAGGTCACTTTGTAAAGGCCAGTTTTATATTCTTGGATATGGTAACATAGAGTGCACACGCACTGCATCATTGCAACTTCTGTATTGTTAGCTATGCATGGCTGAAAGGTCAATATAATAAATACATGTAGATGTATAATGTTATGAGATTTAAGGTATTTAGACTAAAAATTTGTGTTTTCATGTCATAATCTGTAGTCACTCTAGAATAAAAAAAAGCATAATTTATATTTATTTCCTATTTTTTTATGGTGGTTAGGAGGATAGTCAAATCAACCCAACCCATACAGAGGTATAGTACTGAAAATAACAGATAAGATATAAAGTGTTTTCTAAAAAAAACATTATTATTATCTGGAGCTTATAAACATTTCGCATGTATAAAGGTATTTTTAATCTTAAAATCAAAATTACTTTGCATGTTGTGGATAGTCAACATTCGAAAAGAAAAAAGACACGAGAAAAACATTACTGAAGAAATCTAAAAATTTAATAAAAAATAGTTTCCATATGAAAGCCCTGTAATGATTACTGGTAATATGCAAAATTTCATGAAGATGCGCTTACTAATGTAAAAGTTGTAGCACAAAATGATTATGAGGTCAGACCCTGGGACTGAGCCCATGTTGAAAGAACTAATGAACTGAATGTATAACATTTTGTTGCTTATTTAGTTGAATGCTTTACATCAGCCTTGAATTGAAATGTGGTATTTAAAGATCACAGTTTATATTACCACAAAACAGTGTCACGTTATTGTGTTAGTAGCCTGTAAAAGATATTCATTTTGTATATTTTAAAAACTTTTGAAACATGTTTTGAATTAGGGGTCAAAGTGGGAATTATCACATATGTTAGTGACCACATTATAGGCTTAAAATTGAGGTAAAATCAAAATTAATACATTATCAGATTTTCAGGCTTTTCGTATGTCCTAAGGTGTTAATGTGGGATCTTATTCTACATATGTGGTATGTATTATGTGTTTAGAAATTGAAAAACAACCCTCAGTATTATTAAAAGGTATTAATGTCTTTGGATTTGAAAGTAAATCAAGATAAAGATAATTTTTCATATACTATAGAATTGGTGATTTCGGTCTGACAAAATAGTTGCCGATGCCCACTTCTACAACTACAACGTACAATCTCGAGAAATAACAAAAATTTTAAAGGTAGTTTTACTTGGTATGAGCATTCTGATAAGCCTTAAAAATAATGGGTGAACTATCAAATAGAGTAAGAATTTTTGAAGTGACAATTTTTTGTATCTTACAGGTTCCCATTAGTTTTGTTGATCGTGTGTATGGAGAGTCCAAGCTTGGGGGAAATGAAATTGTCCACTTCGCTTCTGGACTTCTGTATCTTTTTGCCACCACATAGAATCAATAAAATTCTGTAAATAAAGACAATATGCACAGGAACTTGATGTTTATAAGTTTTATTCTTGTGTATACATCAATTACTTCACATCGTATTTAATGAAACTTGAAATTTAAATACTCTACTTTTTACTTCCAGAAGAACCAACTCATTTTAAATTTACACTAAATTATTGCTATTCCAATCAGCCTACAACTAAGGTCTCATCATCTGTAAATTCGTAATACGGTATTTCAAGGTTTAATGGGGCTGGACCTTTTCTGATTCGACCAGATGCATCATAGTGGGATCCATGGCAAGGGCAATAATAACCTCCATAATCTCCAGAATTAGCAATTGGAACACAACCAAGGTGTGTACATACACCAATCAGCACCAACCACTCTGGCCTTTGAGCACGTTCTCGGTCATGCTGTGGATCTCTAAGTGTTGACAGGTCAACACTACCTTCTTTTTCTATCTCCTCCGGAGCTCTATGCCGAACAAACAGGGGCTTACCTCGCCACTTAAAGGTCATGTTCTTACCCTCTGGAATTTCTCCAATTTTGATTTCTATCTTGGCTAAAGCCAAGACATCAGCAGAAGCACTCATTGTGCTGATAAACTGAGTCACCAAAGCTTTAGCTCCATAGGTTGCTCCTAAACTTCCACCTGTTAATAACACGTAGAGAGTTTTTTTTTAATTCACTAAAACATTTTTCAAGTATACAAGTGACATTGAAATTTATGGTAACCCATTTTTTAAAGTAGAAATTAATAGTTCTAAGTTACCATTAACTCAAAGCAAAATGGAATGAAGGACTGAGTATGATTAGTGTTACAGAATTTTGTATTAGCTGTTAAGCCAATTTATCTGTAATAGCCCATCATGCCAGAGAAAACCATATGATAAATGTAATAATATTAAAATAGTAAGGTAGAAACCACACACAAGAAAATGTAGGGTAAAATAAACCTTCAACATCAACTTAACTACTCAGAAAACTGTGTGTGGAGTGGGGGTGAGAACGACACAGGAAAATGATGGTTGAAAGCTTTTAAACATTTCTTTTTTAAATAATGAATTAAAACTTGGTCCAGAAAAAAAATTAATTATAAACTATGCTTTCATGCCAAGTTTACTCAGATGCATTGATAATTAAGTTGTTTTGTTCAATTTGGAATATAACATTGTAAAAGGTTATGACATGCACTTTTTACCCACTGAAAGCAACAGTCAATTATATATAATTATTAATGAGTACCTAGTCAAAATATAAAATATATATAAACAAAAGTAAATAAAGTTTCATATTAATAATTAGGCTTAGTGATTATTTGGAGTACTAACCATATCAAAGTTATAATTCAATGACCTTTACAATAAAAAAAATCTATCACTAGATGAAATAACATTCACTTTACACACTATACAACATAAGTTTATTGACCTTTGAACCCTTGTATTTCAATCCATTCTCAATTTGCTTTGACTAGTTATGAAGTACTGTATCAAGGTGTTTTTCTGTTAATAACTACTTCAAAATACTCAAAAACATAGAGTTGGCACTTGGTAAATGATGAGAAAATTCCAGCATCATTTTTCAGATATGATACTGTAAAAATTACAATTAATAGAATCATGATCTACACGAAATACTCTTACAGCTGATAATCAAATATATTTATCTGGGAGTATTATTTAGTTGTCAAAGAGCACTATTTGGCACACCTCACACACACAACCTGCTTCATTAGTTCATATTCTGCAGTCTCAAACAGTACATTCAGAGCTCCCAAACTCACTTCTGAGCATTTGGTGGCATTAATCAGGTTTGGTTCATCTATCTGACCCTTGTAGCAAGAAGTTTCCAGATCATTCACTGTATCTTTCTCTTGCTGGATAGTACTCACACACAAGCATATTTCTTGGCAGTTACTACTCCTGTATGTGAAGTCTGCAACTTGCTGCCTTAAAAAGTTCTTTACCTTTCAAAGTGAATTCTAATGATTTGTTTTTCCTGTACTTTCTTATTAGCCTTGAAGGTGAAGGTTACACTGATGGTCATTATCCTCTCATTCTCTGTTCCTTAAGTAATTGTGCAATGGCACTCTTGGGTGCACTAGCCAGACAGTTGAACTGTTTTGGCAACTGGTATGGGGGGGTAGGGTAGAAACAACTGCATAGGTGTGGATTTACTGGTCGTAATAGTGGGTTGGTCTTCCTATACATACAAATACTTTCTTATAGTCATTGAAAGAAGAATTTGGTTCTTTGAAATATTATGAAGATACATCTATTAATTTTATAGTTATTTAATTCACTTTTCTCGTGCCAGTTTATTTTTGAAACATGCATGCTATTCAACCCTCACCAAAATGTTAGCAAGTCAATAACATTAGTGGACCATCAGCACCAATTGGAAGAGAAAATGATTTCACTATAAACATTCAATTCTCATTACAATGAAAGTTAAAATCATTATACTATTAATATGAAGTAACACAGCTTTCAAAATTACTATAAGTTATTCTTGCACTAAATCATCCTTTACGTGCAATCATTTTACTTCAAGTAACAAGAAAGACTAACATTTAAAATTAAATTTCAGCAAAATATGTTTCGTTTTCATAGAACAAGGCCAAAAGATATAATTAATTGCAGCTAAACATTGACTGACAAGGCTCAAACTGTTACCACATTACTGAGCTAAAGTTTAGAAATGTGAGACAAACAATTTTTAAGATTAAGGATGTTAAACAAACTAGACGCATTCATTTGTGTCATATATGAAAATGAAAAGTCTACTGTACATATTTAAAATATGATGTACCATGCTTAACTAGTAGACTTTCAAAGAAGCACATGATTCTCCTGTCAACAGCATATTGATTCAATAGGTTTTTAGGTTCTAAAATTACAGGTTATAGTGAAAACAGAGAAACTGTGGTAAAACAAGGATTTAAATTCAAATTGCTTAACTATATTCCAATGACTCGTTAATCTACATAAATAACTTGCATACGTAAAGATGCTTTTAGCCACAGTTTCTTACACTTCCTTTTTTTAATCTTCATTTTTTACCTAATACTGTCATATTTAGTGTTATATTTCTCACTTTTTGATACCTATCCTGATTATACATAGAAATAAAAATCACTGAATATATTATGTACAGAAGTCTACACACAAAGCTACCTAACTGATTATACATATGAACATCTCTCTTACGAAATGAACCTGAAACAGACTTTGAAATAAATTAGTTGTTGTGAACAGTGACAAAATAGTGATCATTATCACTACATATGAAAGCTCAACTAGCAGCCAACACTAACTTTTCCATACACTTGTCTTTGGTGTCAATAATCTTGGTAGGTACCTTCATACTGCAAATGAACACTAAAACAAAAAAAAATTAGGTGCTCAGTTTCACTAAACATATACAAGGAAAACATCCTACACTAACCCAACCAGTAACACACCAAATTTCATTGAACTACATAATAATTTTAATTAATGTCCACTTACATTTCTTTCTTTTACTTCTACCAAACACTTATGCAGCAGTAAAAAAGTGGACAGCACTGTTGAAACAAATATTCATATATATATACAAACACACACATCTATATCTGAATTGTAAGTGACCTTGGAGAGAGAGAGTATTGTGTGTGCTCAGTATCCTCTGGTACAAAAAAGGATCTGTGATGAAAACAGTATGCATTAACATCATTTGCTGAGATCTTGTGTAATCAGTTTTGGGTTTTAGCTTAGCATCAGTTCTGGTTAAAAATAATGTGTGTGTGTGTGTGTGTAAGAGAGAGAGAGATAGATAGATAGCACTGTAAGTAAAGATTTTTGGAGCCCTATAGTCTCTTGAGTAAGTCAATCAAGAGTCCAGTATCAAAGGAATAACTTTTGTAGCCTAAAAACTGGGTAGTTAGGACCAAGTCTAGTACCATTTGGAAAAATGAAATATTTTGTACAAACAGCTAATAAACCAGTTATTCAAATCAATACATGGATTGTTTGTTGTTTTAATTGGAACAGCATAACAAGACACACACACACACACACACATAGGTATGCATGTATAGAAAATTAATACTTACACAGTCAAGCAAAATAAAATCAAAAGGAAGGACTGCATTAAAAACGGCAACTCCAAACCTGTGATAAATGACATTTTAATGAACAAACCAAGCCCAAACAAAATTAAATTAAAATGCTACATAAATTAAATGGATCCCCAGGGTACAGGCTATAATGTGGGATATAAAATGTGCCCTGGGTTTTGGAGGTGACTGCAGAAGTAGGACCCACATTGCAATGTGAATACACCATCTATCAGTCTTAACTTTCGTTGTTCGCCAGTCTCACATGAAGAAACTCACAAAAATAAATAAAATCAAAAGAAATACAAGTTTTAATTTATGCAGTGTTTTTAATTTAATTTTGTTTAGGAACTGTTTTGTTCATTAATATATATAAAATATGTCATAAAACTGGTTCACCATGGAAAAATGTACACTAAAATAGTGTAAATAAATAAAACTGATTGGTTCCATTCACAAAATCTAAAGCCACAAATGTCACTGGACAGCTTCAACCATTTAACACAGGGTTTTACCACTGAACAACTTCAACCATTTAACACAGGGTTTTACCACTGAACAGCTTCAACCATTTAACACAGGGTTTTACCACTGAACAGCTTCAACCATTTAACACAGGGTTTTACCACTGAACAGCTTCAACCATTTAACACAGGGATTTATCACTGAACAGCTTCAACCATTTAACACAGGGATTTATCACTGAACAGCTTCAACCATTTAACACAGGGTTTTATCACTGAACAGCTTCAACCATTTAACACAGGGTTTTATCACTGAACAGCTTCAACCATTTAACACAGGGTTTTACCACTGAACAGCTTCAACCATTTAACACAGGATGGAAAAAAAAACACTGGCTTTATATGTATTAAATGCCAGTGTACTGCAGAAACAGGTAACTAAGCCTTAAAGCTCAACACACTATAAACAGGTCTATTTTTAGCTTCATTTTTGATATTTTTGCCTAGTGTTTGGCAGGCTGATCACAACAGCCTTATGAGTTACCAGTTGGACAAATCTAAACTAGCCTGCCAATAAAAGTAAAATGCCAAGACCAATACTCACCAGCCACCAACATGTAACTAAACAATTTTCTTGATTCTTCAGTACTTGATGAACTTCTGTTTGGATCCTTGACACTATTCCTTCTGTATTCTGTGAAATCTGGGACTCTGATATCCGTATGGGCTAACCGGATCTGAGCAGGAACTATAAAAAAACAACAATAAATATTCAAAATACTTAGCTCAATCATCCCTTATGTAAATTTTGATATATTTTTGAAAGTGGGTCAAAATCTAAATACATTCTGTAAGTTTTTAATATACATAGAAAACGCAGTATGCTTATTAGTCTTGTTTCAGCATACATGAAAGTCTGAAGTGTTTGTATAAAAAAAATATTTCCTTTGAAAAAAGGTTATGATAACAGCATTTTTTCTTAACACATCAAATACCACAAGAGCTTAAGAACTACTTAACAAGTGATAATTTTGTTTGCTAATTCACAACATCATACTCCAATTGCTTAGTAAAATGTTAACTCTTGCTCGAGTTCTATTAATATATATATGTCAGTATAAGGAACAAACAAAACTTTAAAGCTACATATAACATATGAACAACAGCAGATCATTTGGGCCTTAAAAAACCACCCTTTAAAATAAAAATTTATATCCACCCTTTATTATTCAGGAAGTTATTGATTCCCACACCTGTAAAGCAGCAACTCCCACTACTGCTGATGGTTATTCATAGAGCTGAGTGATTAGTGTAATTTGCTAATAACACCTTGCTAGATAGAATACTTAAACATTTTTCAAGCAATATATCAATCACCACAAAGGTTTTACAATTCATTGTTTTAGTCATTCTATTCACATCAGTATTATTGGTAAGATCTTGTACATTCTTGCTTTTGTTTTGACAAATAATTTTATCTCCAACAATGAAAAACATTCAACTAACTGACATGACTGAACCTAGTCATGTTTTTTAAAAATCTTTTATTCGAGATATTTATTTTTGGGATAACAGCTTATTAACCTTATATAGAAATTTAAAAGTTTTGAGATGGCTTGATTGGGTAATGAAAAACTTTTATTATAACTGTTCGACGTTTCGACAAGATTTAGTCATCCTCAGGTACAAGTATTTTACATAACAGGACAGGATATTGCTTCACAGACTAATATAGGTATCTTTGTACCCCGGGGTGTTGATTTAGGGTGGGGCCCTTTACTTCAATTTTCATTTCTGCACAGTTCTAATGAGTTGTCTGTAAACAGGGAACTTGTACATAATTGTTTCATCTCATAGAATAACTTTTTGATAATAAACTATCACCAATTGGAAGTATATTATTTATTTCTTGATTTTCAAGCATTTTCCTTGTCTTTACCTGCTTAGTTTTAGTACAGGCCTTGGTTGCTACCCTTTTATAATGTCACATCAAGTGATTTGGTCATTTCTTAATAAACTATAGCTTTGAAAACTAAGAAGAAAGACTAAATATGACTAGGTAGGAAAGAATTACTTTCTATGTCATGGTAGAGAAAATGTAGTAGTTTAAACAGTAGTTAATGGTTTTGAGGGAAATTTTCTAATCCAAGTGAAAGTGTTTATATACTGGATTATATCTGTTTGAAAGCTGTAGAAATTTTCTTAAATGAGAAAACATCAAATTAAAGCTTTAACTGGGTTTAGTGAGTAGGTGAAAGATAAACTATTTTGATAACTCAAATCCTTTATGATTGAATATCATTTTGTTTGATCATTTTTATATTTACAGTATTTAAACACTGTACATAAATAACTTGGCTAACTATCTACTTAATGATGATTTCTAATTGTAACCATGATATTTTTTAAATAACATTATTAATGTTATCAGGATAGTAAAGTTATAATTTTCCTATACTGAAAATGTATTTCCGATAGGTACTTACCTCTTCTCAAATAAATAGCTATTCTCATTCAGTGCTGTCCTCTATATGCAAAATATTTTTTGTGCACACCACAAGCCTTGAAACTCCCACCCATCTGGAATGACTAATTCCAATCTGTCTCACATACAAATTATCATGTGACAACCCTCCACCAAAAAGAGCAAAACACACATTCTTGACGCATGTGACTCCCTCTATTCAATTCTACCGAACTATCAATTTGAGTGTTGGCAGAAAATGGAAACTCCAGTTTTCAGTGGGGAGGAAGTGTGAGTGGAGGTAAGTACCTATCAGAAATACATTTTCAGTATAGGAAAAT